ATATTAGTTTCAGGTATAAAATATAGTGATTTGACATTGATAGACCTTACGATGTGATCATCACACCATGTACTAACCATCTGTTACATGAGATGATCACAATGTTTTAAGCTACATTTTCCTTCTTTTTTGGCCATACTTTCACTCTGCCCCACTTTCTGGTAACCATCAATTTGATCTCTGTTTTTATTCTTTGTTTATTTGTTTTCTTTTTAAATTCCACATACAAGTGATATCATATATTTGTCTGATTTATTTCACTTAGCATAATACCCTTTAGGTTCACCAATTTTCTGTTCTCTTGTGAACTCACTTCATTCCATCAAAACTGCCCTTGCACAGGTCAGTGATGGCCATTTTAATGCCAGATCCTGTGGTCAATTCTCAGTCTGTATTTTATTCAACCTCTCAATGCACTTGACAAAGTCTTCCTTAAAACGCTGTTTTCTCTTTAAAAAATATATTCTATTAATTATGCCATTACTGTTGTCCCATTTCCTCCCCTTCGTTCCCTTCCATCCTGCATACCCCCTCCCCTACCATTCCCCTGCCTTTAGTTTATGACCATGTGTCACAAGTTCTTTAGATTCTATATTTCCCATACTATTCTTGCCCCCCCATCTATTTTCTACCTACTGTCTATGCTACTTATTCTCTGTACCTTCTTCCCCCCTTCTCCTCCTCCCACTCCCCTGTTGCTATTTCTCCATGTGATCTCCATTTCTATGATTCCGCTCCTGATCTAGCTGTCGTCTTATTTTGCTTTTGTTTTAGGTGTGGTTGTTAATAACTGTGAGTTTGCTGTCCTTAACTGTGAGTTTGCTGTCCTTTCACTGTTCCTATTTTTTATTTTCTTTTTCTTAGATAAGTCCCTTTAACATTTCATATAATAAGGGCTTGGTGATGATGAGCTCCTTTAACTTGACCTTATCTGAGAAGCACTTTATCTGCCTTTCCATTCTAAATGAAAGCTTTGCTGGATAGAGCAATCTTGGTTGTAGGTCTTTGGTTTTCATGACTTGAAATACTTCTTTCCAGCCCCTTCTTGCCTGAAATGTCTCTTTTGAGAAATCTGCTGACAGTCTGATGGGAACTCCTTTGTAGGCGACTGTCCCCTTATCTTATGCTGCTTTTAGGATTCTCTCCTTCATTTTAATCTTGGGTGATGTAATGATGATGTGCCTTGGTGTGTCCCTTCTTGGGTTCAACTTCTTTGGGACTCTCTGAGCTTCCTGGATTTTCTGGAAGTCTATTTCCTTTGCCAGATTGGGGAAATTCTCTTTTATTATTTGTTCAAATACGTTTTCCATTTGTTGCTCTTCTCTTCCCCTTCTGGTACCCCTATACTTCGGATGTTGGAATGTTTAAAGATGTCCTGGAGGTTTCTAAGCCTCTCCTCATTTTTTTGAATTCTTGTTTCTTCATTCTTTTCTCTTTGGTTCTTTTTTTTCTTCCTTTTGGTCCGCTCCATTGATTTGAGTCCCAGTCTCCTTCCCATCACTATTGGTTCCCTGTGCATTTTCCTTAATTTCACTTAGTGTAGCCTTCATTTTTTCATCTAATAAAATCAGCCAGTTCTGTTTATTAGATTTTTCATCTAATAAAATCAACCATCCTGATCACCAGTGTTTTGAACTGTGCATCTGATAGGTTGGCTATCTCTTGGTCGCTTAGATGTATTGGCTCTGGGGCTTTGATCTGTTCTTTCATTTGAGCCTTTTTTTTTTTTTTTGGCCTGATCACACCTGTTATGTAGTGAGGGGCGGAGCCTTAGGTGCTCACCAGGGTGAGGCAACCCAGTCACTGCGTTGTGACGCTGTATGTGGGGGTGGGCTCAGACAGGGAATAATGGCGCTTGTTCCATTCTCTCTTTGATTTCAGTCCCCTCTGCTACGTCCCACAAGCAAATTGTGCCCTTCCGATGCTGGTTTCCGGGTGGGTGGGCTTGTGTACATTCTAGGACCCTGTGAGTCTCTGCAATGAACTCTCCTGTGAGGCTGGGAGTCTCCCAGCACCTCATCTCCTGTAAGTTTTTTCAATTGGTGCTTTTAGGCTTTATTTCCTGTTGCTGGGGCCCTGGGTTGTGGGTTCTGTCTCACTGCGCATTTTTTGCCTAGCTTATCTGCACATGAGTGTGTGTCTGCAGTCAGCCAGCCGCCTTGAGCGCCTCACTGGGTTTGCTTGTTTCCTCCCTGCACCTGAGGTCTGTCAACCACCACTTTTTACTGCCGCAACCATCTCCTCTGGCCGCCAACTCTGCCCCTCTTACCAGTCTGTATGAATCGTTTGTTGTCAGACTTTTGTACAGTTCAATTTTCTGTCTGTTCTGGTTGTATTTTTGTTTGTAAATCTTTGTAGTCCTTAAATTTGGTTGTGTGAGGAGGCACAGTGTTTTCATCTACACCTCCATCTTGGCCAGAGGTCTTAACTCAATTTCTGATGTGATGATTGTTGTATAGTTTAGTTGTCATTTTGATGTGGTCATGCAAGGAGGTGAGCAGTGTTTACCTATGCCACCATCTACACCAGAAGTCTGAAAGTTTGATTTTGACTTCATTTTTCACCTCTAAATCATCAGCAGATTATCTACCATGTCTTCTAAGCCCTAAAATATTTATCACCACCATTCTTACCTTCATCTAGTGAAGCAGCATTCTGTGATTGTTGAAATAAATAGCCTCCTGACTGGAATCTCTGCTTTTCTCTTTGCTTTTTCATGGCTTACTCTCAACAGAGTGCTCAGAGTGTTGTTTTCAAGACTTAAGTCATATCACATCACTCTTCTGTTGCAAACTCCTAGTAGCTTCCCATCTCGCTTGGATTAAAAGCCAGAGATAAGCATACAAAGACCTACCCAGTTGGACCTTGTTGCCTGTGTTTCTGCTCCTCACCACTCTCCCCCTTGTTCACTTTGCTCTCTGTGCTCTGATCTCTCTGTTCTCCACGAACATGCCACATCCACTTTCACATTATAGCCTTTGCTCTTACTGTTTTTTATGCCTCTAAAACTTCCCGTTTTCTCAGATGTTGTCTCCTTCTTTCACTTATATTTTTACTCAGAGTTCAGCTCCCAGAGAAGCCTTTCCATGACCACCTTACCTGAAGCAGTACCTTCTCCCACGCCCCAGCAACCCACCCTTGGGTACCCACTGTCCCTATTATGCTTTAATTTTTTTCCTTATAGAACTTTTCACTACTATCATTTATTTATTTTCTTTTTGTTTGTCTCTGCTCTGTAGAATGAAAACATCATGGGAGTCGGAACTTTTTATCACAATAAAGTGATTACATTCAGCTGGTGCTCCATGAGTATTTGTTAATTGAGCAAATGAATAAATGCTCATGTAAATATGCAGTGGATCATTGTGTGTGGTTTGATGGGAAAATAATCATTCTAACTTTCTATTTTAAATTTAGACAGGTAGCCTTGTTTTATCAAACAACATTGCCTTTACTGCTTACCCACAAGATCTGAATTTGCCAGACAGTACAGTTTGCTTAGGCGTTCTTGCTTTACGAGCTGGCAAGACTGTAAATTCTGCTCTTCTGCCAGCGTTGTGTCTTATCAAGGTGCTTGACTTTTCTTCATATGTTCATCGACTAAAGAAGGAACAGAATGCCATTTGAAATATAGTTAGAGTGCATTATTCCCAAGGTCTTGTAGTAAAAAAATAATTTCATTTAAGATGGAACTTTAAAAGTCTAATGCTCCATTAGGTGACTTCGTAGTCATATGATGTTTTGAACATTTTAGTCAGAAGATCACTGCCACCCAAAAACATTAGCTGATTCTACTGGTTTTTAATTTGCTTTATAATTAATTTTATTTATAGCCTCTTAAATCAAGCTTATTTTGGCAAGGCTCCTTTTAGGGAGAAAACTCAGGTAGAGGCTTTACTAACACTATAGTACAGGTCAGCAATTTTCAACCTCTTTCATCTCATGGCACATGGATGGCCATTGTATTGGCGGTTGTCTTTTTTTAATTTGCCAATCTTAAGGAAAAAGATGTCAGTGCCTCTGACTAGTCAGGTAGTGCATGTTTTAAAATTTTTTGTGGCTCATCAGTGTGCTGTGGCACATGGTTGAAAATTGCTGGTATAGGTTGATCTGTGTTTAAAAACATTCTTTTTAGGTAAGTTACATTCCAAGAATTTTCATTGCATAAAATGATGCTTCTCCATAATGCAAACAGAAACCTAAAAATTCTAAAATCAAAATTTAACTTGTGAGCAAATAGGAATTTAGTTTTAAAATTTATATTCTTAAGTATGTCATTTTGCTCAAGTGTGTCATAGCACTTACATTTTTTACTTGTGAGTATAGCCACTCTGACATCATTAAGTTCATTAAAAGGTTCCCACTTAACTCTTATAAAGGTCACACTTTTTATTAAACTAAAAAGAGTAGAAAACTATGACACTAGGGACACATAACTGTTTACAAAAGCTAATTAAAGCAAGATGAGGCCTGGAAACCTGGAGTGAATGTCACTCCAGAGACTTGGGCTTTGAAACCTTAGTACCTGCAAAATAGGGCAGGTGATTCTTGCCCTCCTCCCCCAGCTTGAGTGCTCCTCTGGAGAAACCAGAGACATTGTTGCGTGGTTGGCATCTTTGTTGTCACAGACATAGTGACTTCTGTCAGAGAAGACAGATCTAGGCTGCTGTGTAACTTTCTATTCTGCTTAAGTTTAGTAGCTTTGATTTACTGGGAAATTAGTCTAGAATGGAGTAGAGATAAACAGCTCTGTGCATGATCCTGGTCAATTATACTTGACCAGGTATAATCTGACAAGTTGTCAGATTTCACTATGTAGAGTCTTTTAGACAGTACAAATGAAGGGACTTTAAGATTCTTAGCTAAACTTCTCTTTACATTGCCTTTTTTAGAGATTTAGAGAAATGAACACTTTTCATAGTTTAACTGTTTCTTTCTTTTTTCATTCCTTTTCCACATTCCCTTTTTTATTTCACCCAACACCAAAAATGCCCTTTTAGAAACACAAAGTAGATCTTTTCTACAAACTACGCCATGTGATGAATGAACTTATTGACCTTCGAAGACAGCTACTCTCTGGTCACCTGACTCAGGATCAGGTGCGAGAGGTTAAGCGGCACATCACCGTGCGCCTGGACTGGGGGAACGAGTAAGTATGGCGGTCATTTGGGCATCTTTCAGTTTCATTTACGATAATTTCTCATGGAGTTTCGTACTTGAGCAAAGCTTCTCTTTAGCGATTTAAAGTCACTATTATACTTTCCACCACGCTTTGATTATTTTTACTGTGAGTACTATAGTTGTTTCTTTTAGTTTAGCAAAGGACACTCACTGGTTCTACTCATCGACACTCTCTCAGCCTCCATTTTTACTTCTGGGGAATCAAATTAGACATTATCTATTGAGAAAATATGAAATAAAGAATAAACTGACAGTAATCGGGGGTGGGGAAGAGGGATAATGGTGGGGAAAATAGGGGAAGGGCCATCAAGGAACATGTATAAAGGACACATGGACAAAGCCAAAGGGGTAGGTTTGAGGGTGGGGCGGGGAGTCTGTGGTGGTGTGAAAATGGAGATAGCTGTATTTGAACAACAATGAAAAATACTGATTTGAGCAGTGGGGAAAAAGATTAAAAGCAAATTATAATAAAAAAAATGATGGGAAGAGGACCAGCAATAAATGAGATATATGAACCCATTTCTAGAAATTGGAAACGAGTTAGAGGATTAGTGACTGAGGAAGCCCCTTATAGATGGGGGAAATTTTAGCTAGTGGAGGAGCTACTCCCTTTTAGCTCCCAGAATCATGGAGGGTGGGAGTGTGCCTCTGAGCTGTAAACAGTGGGATGGCTTAAAAGTATGTGAAAGGAATAACCTACCACCACTAGGCCACCACTACCATGGCAGCCAGGCGTCAGACTAACAAATACAAAGATCAGCTGCGGACGGAACTGGAGAAGAGTGTGAACTGGGGCCTTATCACAGAGTCTTCTGTGTTGTGGCATTTAGGAGTTTCAAAGTGTATTACACTGGACCAGATCCCTTCCACTTACCAGAAAGAGAAACTTGCTAGTTACCCACCTGTGTACAGAACCCTCCCCACACTTCTAATACCTTTCAAATCTGAATGGACAATTGAGTATTATCAAATATTTGAAGAAATCCTTCTGTAGGAAAGAGACAGAAACTGGATAAACAAAATACTGTATCTCAAATGAAATAATCTGGCCCCAGAGAGAATTAGAGAATTAGTAAAGAACTTAAAAAAAAAATCTCAGTATCCTCGAAGAGAATCAAGAAGATCCATTATATAGGATAAAGTGCTATGAAAAAGGAATGGAGAATGTGATTTCCAAAATGAACCATTTAGGAAAAGAACAGGAAGGTAATTTTATGTCGTTACTAGGAAAATTAAAAGATGGGAAATAATTGAAGAAAGAAGAGCAATATAGATGTGCAAGCCAGTGGGTCCCACATCAGGGATAATTTCCAGGAAAAAAGTGAATAAAGAAGAAATTCTAGCTCTGGCCAGTATGTCTCAGTTGGTTGCAGTGTTGTTCCATAAACTGAAAGGTTGCGGGTTCAATTCCTGGTCAGGGCACATGCCTGGGTTGCAGATTCAGTCCCCAGTTGGGGCATGTGCAAGAGGCAGCCCATTGATGTTTCTCACTTCCCCTCTCAGTAAGGTCAATGAGCATGTCCTCAGGTGAGGATTAAAAAAAGAAATTCTAAAGAAATGATAGAAGAAAATCTCTCAGAGCCAACCCAAGAGTCCTAGGGTTGAAAGTTCCCACCAAATACTCAGTATGAATGGGGAAAAACCCAGCAAGGCACATGAAAATATTTCAGTATCTCATGATGAGAATATCCTGAAGGGTTTTCAGAGAGCAAAACAGGTTTTAGGAATAAGAATCACATTGGCCTTGAAAGTTTTACCAGTAACACTGGACACTAGAATATAATGATTGGGAGATGATTTGCCAGACAGAGTTTTATAAACAACCAAGTTATCTAGTAAAGTATGAAATATTCAGGGGTGCAGAAATTATCTTTCATAGCCCTTTTCTTAATAAGGGACTTGAGAATGTGTTCTTAGAAAAGTGGAAGAATAAATGAGGGAAGAGGAAACCCAGAATGTAATAAACAGTGGGCTCAGCTCAGACCCAAACTGTTTGTTCATTATTAGAAAAGAAAAAGGTACAACTCTAAATTGGTTGTTTGTGACTTTTTGAAGTGATACTGTGATATCCTTGTTTGTTTACATTACATCTTTTCTTGACCATTAAATAGAGTTGCTTGGCACACACCACTGACCCCTTGTATGATACGACATGGATTTAGGTATACCGTAGATCATACAGTATTCTCTAAGTCTAACTTTGGACAATACAGATCTTAGCAAAATACAGTATGTCAACTCATAGCTAGTTACTGGTCCTGTCTCCTCAGCCCCAAACAGTACTGTGTTATAAAATGGTATCAGTGCATTTATTTTAAAAATCAGTAACAGTAATAATTACAAACATAACATTACCACAAGCCAAGCAAATTGTTAACACTTGAACTGATAACACTAACAGTTGTATAAATCACTGTTACAATTTAATATATACCAGTGAATGAAGAAGAGAATTATTTTAGATTTATCATTACCTCTTCATAATAAAACTTGGAAAAATACCAGATTTTGCCATCAAATCTAAAAACTTGAAGATGATAGTTTGGAAACAAGTTTAAATTGTTTGAAAAAGGCTATGGCCATTATAAATCCCTGTCAGTAAATTACAGAGTAATTCCACTTTCATGAATATCTTTTCTCAACAGACTGTGTGTCTTGGGGGCTGGGGCGGAGTACTTATATGTCTACTTTAATAAACAAACAAAAAAACTAAAACCAGGAACATAGTTCGATGCTCCTTCTTCACTTTTTCTTCTCCTCCCTCCCCCATTTCTTCCTGTCCCACCTCTCTGTATCTTCTTCCCATCTTTCTCCCTCCCACTTCTTTTTTCCCCTCCCACTCCTTCCCATTTCTTTCTCCCCCCAACCCCCGTGGGAAAATTAGTCATTTAAAAACTTAAATGAGAGCTTTGTAGGTCTATCATTATTAAAAGAAAAAGACATATTGCTCCCCAAATCAATAGGACTCTTCTGTCTGGTTCTTGCTTGAACTAATTCTTTTCCAGAATTTCCTTTTTACTTGGAAAGAAGAGGTAGAATACTGCAAAAATTATGTCATTCCACATGGTTAGGTTATATAAAGGAGACTGTCCCACACAGCAGCCGAGCACTTGATAACTGGATCCCTTGTTTCATTTATGCCCTGATAGTTCCTCAGTTCTTGTCCCATCACACTTTTATAAATGCCACAAAATAGTGATGCTTCGCAGGTGTTGGCATGTGTTGGATGCATAATTAATGCTTGCTGAATGTATTTTTGTATTGTAGTTGATGTAATTAAATATTAATTACCTATAAGCTCTTACATAGACTTTATAGCTCTACCTTTTCAGAACCTATTATCAGAAGCTGTTGATGACAGCTGTTAATAGTTTATTGAGTACATCTACCTATATCACTGTGTGCAGTGCTGGTCTAACTTACATGCATGTTATAATGAAATGCTGTGATACTCTTTGAAGAGAAGAACTGTTTTATCTGAGGAGGAGACTGATGATCAGAAGCACTTTCTCCAGTGTTACAGTGAGTAGTGAGCCGGTGTTTGCACCTGGGACTGGCCCCAAAGCCCAGGCCCTTTATGTAGGACCTTACTGTTGCTCAGATTATTATTTGTTTTAGATTAAAAAAATTTATTAATCTTTAGAAGGGAAGGGGAGAGGAGAGAATTATCAATGTATGGTTGCTTTTCATGTGTCCCCTGCTGGGAACTGGCCCCTGTTGGGACCTGGCCTGCAACCCAGGCATGTGCTCTGACTGGGAATCCAACCACGATCCTTTGGTTTGCAGGCCCTATCACTCAGATATTTTTCATTGTGAGTCTTAAGCCCGGGCAAATTGCTGCTAGTGTTTCTACTCCACGGGTTATTTGGTCTTTCTTCTGTACTCCTACTGTGAATACTGTATGTCCCATAATACATATCTGATTTAATTGAGTGAGAACTTTCAAGGATAGAAACTAAACAGCCACTTTACACTTTTATTTAGAATTCAAATGCTGAGCTTTCCTCATCTATATAATAAAAATTTTTACTTTGTTTCTTAATTTTAATAATTATTATTTATTTGGTAAAAATTTGAATATTTGGCCATTAAATTTATGTGTTGTACATTTGTTGACCTAGTCAATGTATAGACTGATTTCATAAGTAAAAATTATTAAAATTGTATCAGGTAGGAATCAGCACTTAAAAAATTGTGCTCTTATATTTTTAGGAACCAAAATATAGGAAGGGCATAAAACAAAATTGTGTTCAAATTAACTGTCTGTTCAAGTCTCCTGTACAAAGGATAAGTCCATTAATTACATCCTTTTCAAGGTAATTTTAAAAGAATTTGCCTAGCAATGTAATTCTAATGTGTCAATTTAGTATTTTCAACATCTCCCTAAAGATGTTTAAAAAGTTTCTTCTCAGTCTCTTAATTTCATCACTGCAGTACCTACAGCACAGCCAAGTTGAAATCACATTCGCCCAGGGCCAATCACCTAATTGATTTTTGCCTTAGAAAAATACCTATGTCAGAAATATGTTATTAGAATGATTTATAGAGTCTTTGTGTTTGTTCTTCAGGTAGAAAGTTCAGATTTGAATAAAATGTAAGCATTTTATAAGCTTTTGTTGAATTAGAATGCTATTTCTATGGATTATAACTATCAAATGAAATAATTGCTATCTTTTTATTGTGATTTTCATGTTTAAGACAAATCACCAATAAACATATAATTTGTAGTTTTTCATTCTATCTCTCCTTCTTTTATATTCTCTCCCTCTTCCACCTCTCTTTTCTGCCTTCTCTCACAGATTTTCATATATCCCAACCCATCCATCTCCCCCTTTTCCTGCTTAGTTTATGTTTCTCACTAAGGGAGTTGCCCTTGGAGGAGGAAACACAGCAGTAGTGTGAGTCGTAGTTTGCAGAAAATATTGCCACCCACCTACCACCCCAACATGTTTCCTCTGGGTAGGTTTT